TTGTAGTTCAGCCTCTGACCACTAGTTGGCAGCAGTGAGCCAGCCATTTGGCTCCTCTACCTCTTGAGCGCCAGAAAGTAAGGGTAGCATTAGCATTGTGAGTAAACATTGGCTTTTCTTTTTTTTTTTCAGTAAGAGGTTTTTATTTAATAGAATTTTTGGACAAAAAAAAAAATCGCAATATATCGCCTTGTTTACAGTATCGAAATATATCGGGATATATCGTATCATGACCCCTCTGTTATGATATGTATCGTATCGCCAAATTCTTGCCAATACACAGCCCTATTAATAACATGTTGCAAAACAAATTTCACGCCGCTGAGATGAACAACTGTTGAGATATTGGCATGTGAAAAAACAGGAAGTGATGTCAAAGGGGAATGTCTGAATGTAAAACAGAGCGTTGCTACGATAAGGCAGACTGTAGAGAAGAATCTGATGTTTCTTTAGATTATTTTGAGTCACCATTAGAGAGATGAAGAACAGTTAAAATTTAAATATTCTTTCAATAGAGACCAGAGTTGTCTTTCTTAAAGAGTTCCCCTTTGATGTCATTTCCTGTTTCACTTTGGCTGAGCCAAGTTCAAAAAAAAAATGCAATTTATGTGACAAAATGATAAAATCATGTGTATTATGCAAAGTTTCTTAAATATAAAGTTATTTTATTTAACTTTCTGTATCTGAAGGATATACACGTCACAGGCACTTTAAGGTTTTTAATAAATTTACAACCATGGGTCTAAAAATGACTCAGAAGTGTGTTGATGTCAGAATAAAAACAGTTCAGACGTCTGTAATCTGTTTTCAGAGCCTGATTTAACGTCCAGGTGTGAACGCCCACCAGGTGTGAACAGGGCCCGAGTGCCTTCGGTTAGTGAGCAGGTGGCACATTCACGGCTGCCGTTCACTCACAGGCGCATCGCGCGAAGCTGTAAAGGTTAGCACGTTAGCATCAGGTCACGGCGGCGGCTCCGACAAGGTCTCACCTGGACCGGACCCAAACCTGAGCTGTGAGCGAGCCAGGTTTAATATCTGACTGGTTTAATGAAGCTTCTGAGGCCCGGTTTACATGAGACCGGTCTCTGAAAATGCTAATGTTTACTGGGGTGAATACAGGAAAAAAAATCACCCGTTTACATGGAACCACTGCTGTAATGCAAGGTTGCCAAATTAGAGTGTTTTATTGTTCTTTTAAAATCATATTTTGAGTCAAAAGAGCAGATTTGCTCATATACAGCGGGTAAAATAAGTATTGAACACGTCAACATTTTAGCCTTATGTGTATTAGCTCGGTGCTAGCACAACAAACTAACAAGCTAAACTGAGGTCCTCCATCCATATTTTCAGTTACAGCTGAGTCATTTTTTGTGTTCCCCTCTCTGTCATGTGGATGGAGGACCTCAGTGACGAGAGGAGAATGTGTAGCGCTGAGCTAATACATATA